ATAGTCCATGTCTTTACTCTGCTCTTGGGGTTTATTTTTGTAGATTTTTATCCCAGATGCCTTTCCATGCCCTACAATTAATAGCCTAGCATTAGTGTAAGGAGGAGACAGAAAAGGTTAAGTGTTTTACGCAAATGGGCACAGCATTTTAAACTGGTAATCCTCTGGTTAAAGGGTGAATGCTCAAAACTATGGGCAGCAGTTGTTTTAGATGAGGCTGTTTCAGGTTAGAAGACATTTCCACCTATTTCCTGTATGAATTAGGACAAAAAGAATAAATTATTTTGTGTCTGAGATTAGATTTACTATTTATGCTCTCACATTTATTTAAAAAATAATCAGGAGCATTAACATTTGAGAGAAGGCTGTAAAATAAACAGCTAAATTAATACAAGAATTCCATAATTTGAAAACAACGTTAATAAATCTAAACTACAGAATTAACATATTGCTAAAAAAAGAGCTAAAAAGAACATTTGTTGTACAATTGCATTTATAATTCTTATATAGTTCAATTTTTTCTTTGTAAAATATTATCTGATAATTAGCTGTTATTGTGCAGCTACTGTGTCTGTCACTCCAAACTTTTATAATTTTAACTATAGAAGGAAAAACTAACAAATAACAAAGGCCTGAGTGATATGAAAAAATGATCATGATCTCTAATTTATTTCCATCCATCCATTTTCCATTCAGGCTGACCTGGGAACGCCTTGGGGTCCCCCTGGAGGAGCTGGAGGAAGAGGGGTGAAGGAAGTCTGGGAGTTCCTGTTCAGGCTGCTGCCCCCGCGACCCGGCCCCGGATAAGCAGAAGAAAATGGATGGATCGATGGATGGAATCCATTTTCTTCCATCCGTTTATCTGGGGGCCAGGTCGCTGGGGTAGCAGTCTGACGAGAAAGGCCCAGAGTTTTCTTTCCATACACACGTCCTCCAGCTCTTCCAGGGGGCTCCCGTAGTGTTCCCAGGCCAGCCCAGAGGCATAGTCCCTCCAGTGTGTCCTGGGTCTTCCCCGGGGCCTCCAGGGAGGCATCCAGGAGGCATCCGAAAGGGATGCCCAAGCTACCTCAACTGGCTCCTCTCAAAGTGGAGGAGCAGCGGCTCTACTCTGAGCTCCTCCTGTGTGACTGAGCTCCTCACCCTGTCTCTAAGAGAGCACCCAGCCACTCATTTCAACCTCTGGCATCCACGATCTTGTCCTTTCAGTTTTACCCAAAGCTCATGACCATTTTACCTTTTCCAGACCAAAATTACAAAGACTTTTAGTGCTGATTTCATGAACATAAAAAAAGATACTTTTAATCTGTGTCATTTAATAAAAAAGAACAGTTTCTTCCTCCAAGCAGAAACTGCTCCAAACCACATGTTTCACTGACAGGAGACTGGCCGTAGACCCTTTGACTCAAAAACTGCAAGCGTGTCATTGACGATTAGACTTGGCTGTTTCATGATCTCTGGATGTTTTGATTAGCTGCTCATACTGCCAGACAAGGACAAGAGGCAGATTTACTTATTGATTACACTGTACTTTCATTTTCATGTCAGCATTTCAATATATATTTCAAAATTCATGTTACACTATTTTCTGATCTATGTTATAATGTTGTTTCCTCATCACAAACCTGGAGTTGTGTTTTGTTTCATTCACACACATTTAACTCATAAATCCTGCATATTTAGGCGTTTAGGCATGAGTTCTTCTCTCAAACAGAAAACACTCTGTTCCACTTTGTAATATCAAGTAATACAAGAAGTGCTCCTCTGTATTTTTAAACTCCGTACACCTTCACTTGGAACATTTCCACCCTGGAATTGTCAATCTCTACTAAACTAAAGCTAAAGGTAACACAGGACCTTTAAATATTATTGGCCTAAAAATGTTTTGAGATGTCACCTGAAACTCTTTTCGTCCCTGAAACCTACACATTTCAATTGTGATTTCTGTATTTCTAAAATTTATACTTTTAATACCTTAATATAATCATGTCCTTCCAAAAAAGTGAAAAAACCCAACAACTTTACACTCACGAAGAGGCCAGTTTTATAATTTGATGTTTGAATCTGACATTTGGAAATGAGAAAAAGGTGTAATCCTCTTCGTGCCACACGGTATGTAAATTTATTGCGAAAATCTCCATTTAATTTCTGCTTGTCAGATTAGTAAATCCTGTGAGAACCACGTCAGGAGCAGATCTGTTTTGATGCATTAACGGTATCATGGCGATTATACGACGAGACCACAGTCCCATTCACGCCGCGGTCTGGACATCGACTTGTCATTCTACACATATTTTTTACTCTGTCCTTATTTGTTGCCGTAGAAACCCCGCGGTCAGCCGTTCAAACGCTTTGTGTCTCTCAAGCTGAAAATTGTCAGTCAGATTGTTTAACGCAGCATGTCTTTAATCTCACTGACGCAATACAAGGCTCGCCACTTCACACTCAAAATGCAAGGGATTTTGGTCAGTCTTTTTTGCTTAAATGTTAAAGCTGCAGCATGTGGCTAATTTCCTATAACAAACCTGTTGATATTTTCTTAGTAATAATTTGTAAACATTAGGGTTGTGCGGTAATACGGTATTACGGTATCCCGCGGTATCAAAAAGAAGCAATGGTATCAGTTTATTACCGTCATTAAACAAATCTGCAGCGCATTTTTTGTGTGTTGCATTTTCAATTTAATGCTATCACGATTTAAAACTAATAGTATTTATAATGTTTCTTGGGGAGATGACGTTCGATTAGTTTCGTTCCGTTGTCACATGACGCTCATAAGTACGGAAGCCGAGAGGGGTCGCAAGAAACGCAAACGCCGCAACAACAAAAAATACAAATGCCGCAACACATTAAAAAGCCACAAACACATTAAAAAGCCACAACGGAAGTGCCCACGGGACTCTAATTTCCGACGGACCGATCAAGCAACAAGTGAAGAAGAACTACAATGTGAAAAGTAAAGGAACGGAGAAGTTGGAAATGTAAGTAAAAGTAATTTATTGTTTTATCATTTTTCGTTTCACGTTGTAGTCCTTCTTCTTCACTTGCCGCTTGATCGGTCCGTCGGAAAATAGAGTCCCGCGGTCACTTCCGTTGTGGCTTTTTAATGTGTTGTGGCATTTGCGTTTGTGTTGTGGCGTTTGTATTTGTTGCGGCGTTTGCATTAAAATAGAGTCCTGTGGTCATTTCCGCTGTGGCTTTTTTTGGAGTGTTGTGTTTTTTTTGGTTTGTTGTAGCTTTTTGTTGTGTTGTCGCATTTGTATTTGTTGTGGCGTTTGCGTTTGTTGCGACCCCTCTCGGCTTCCGTACATAAGGGACGACCAAGACAAGACGGCTAGTCCAGGAACAAGCGAGTTGGTCCCAAAAAAAAAGAAAAAATTGGCAGCATATTGGCTTCAAGTGCACATTTGTTGACATTTTACAGAAATTAAACTTAAATCCACATTGCCAATTTGCATAAACTATAAAGCATAAACTTGTGTGCTGATGCGGTTCAGCTTCTGTTGGAGTAAAGGACACGACTCCCTGAAATATGAGCGTTCTCCCTGCGAAAGAAAAATGTGCTGCTGATGGTGAGTCTGTTCTGTGCTTCTGTTCTTTTCAGAGATTATACGTCGCTTATACGCACAGACTGTATAGTGGTGCGGCTTCGTAGCTTACCAAAGTCGTACTAAAATAGTTTGGTAATACAGTAATACCATAAACCCTAGTAACATCCCGAAAAGGTTTAACGGTATCAAAATGTGGATACCGCCAAACACTGGTAAACGTATACCTCTCTGTCCTATTTACCCTCCATTTACTGTGTGTAAAAGTCAAGTGTGACCTTTCAGTGTTTAACTATAGCTGAGAGACTGAACCTGTTGTTTGACTAATGAATAAACTTTGGCACTAAAACCCCAGCAGCTAAAATGTCAATGATGAGGCGGAGATGGGCTTAAATATAAACGACACAGACAAAAATGATAATAAATCTGACTTTTTCCAACATATCATCATGGAATTAGGAAGGTTTTAATCGGTTTAGGCCTGGTTAAAAACTGGTGTAGTCATTTTGTGTTGGTTCAAGTCATGGTTTAGTCTTGATTAAGACCTGGTTTGGACCAGGCTAATGAGAAGAGACAAGCTTTCTTTTTTAGTCCTGGTTTAGTCCTTCTTTAGTCCTGGTTTAGTGCTGCTTTAGTGCTGGTTTGTTACTTGATTGGTTATGGTTTAGTCCTTGCTTAGTCCTGGTTTAGTTCTTTTTTAGTCCTGGTTTAGTCCTTGTTTAGTCCTGGTTTATTACTTGTTAAGTCATGGTTTAGTCCTGGTTTAGTCCTTTTTTATTCCTGATTTTGTCTGTTTTTAATCCTGGTTTAGTCCTTGATTAGTCCTGGTTTAGTCCTAGTTTAGTTCTGGTTTAATGCTGGTTTATTACTTGTTTAGTCATGGTTTAGTCCTTGCTTAGTCCTGGTTAAGCGCTAGTTTAATCCTGTTTGCTGTTTAGTCCTTTTTAGTGCTGGTTTAGTCTGTTTTTAGTCCTGGTTTAGCACTGGTTTAGTCTTCTTTTAGTTCTGGTTTAGTCCTTCCTTAGTCCTGGTTTAGTGTTGGTTTAGTCCTGGTTTAGTCCTTGCTTAGTCCTATTTTAGACCTGGAACTCAGAAGAAGAAAAATGGAGAAGAAATAATAAGAAGAAAATATGGTCAGGTCCTGAAAATAGTAAAAGTGTTTACAAATCTTGTCAGATGTCAGCTTTGAAACCTTTCTAAATGAGGGATTCCTCTGTGGTGTAAATAATAGTATTGAATAGTATAACTTAATACAGCTTTAACAGAGCCACTGTTCCTTTAACAGGGCTTAGAGGCGTCATCTAAGGTCTGTACCACAATATAATGTGGTGTTCTTGAGGTTGTAGTGGTATAATTACATGAATTAGTAGCCCAAAGTACTGCCCATGATTATTTTTCTGCCAGTTGAGCAGGAGGCCTGAGGACCAACCACACTTGTGTTTGGAGTCCACTGACCTGACACACTCCGTTGATGCACATGTCCAGAGCGTTGTCACGGCAGCGGGTCCCGTCCAGTACTTTGGGGGCCAGCTCCACAGTGAGGGTCCCACCTTTGGCCTGGCAGCGGAGGGCACAGGGGGCCGAGGGGTCGTAGGGCGCCGGGATCCACTCGTGCGATACCCCCTGGAGCTTCACGTCATTATGGGCCGAACACTGCTGAGCGCGGAAATCGCCAGCCTCCAGGGGGCAGTCCTGAGGCCGGCAAGGAGAAAGAGAACAGAGACATCATATGGGTTGTTTTGTGCATTTAGAACATACACTGTAAAAAAGCAAAATCTAATCATTGTTCTTTTCTACAACATGTCAGGATGATAATGACATTTAACATAACACAAACACACACAGAAGAGATAAGGCAGGCCAACAAAAAAATTCTGAAAATAAACATTTAAATAATAAATAAAATAAAAAATAAAATAAAAAAAAAAACAGAAAAGAGGCTACCATATTTTTCGGACTATAAGTCACTCCAAAGTCACATCAGCCAAAAAATGCATAATGAAGAAGAAAAAACATATATAAGTCGCACTTTTTGGGGGACTTTTATTTTTTGAAATTAGGGACCAGGAATCGACATTTCATCTTGAAAGGCAAGTTATAGTATTAACAATAGAATAAAAGAAGAACAGTCTGGTATGTTCACATAACATATTAACAGTTATTCAGATAACTAGAGCATAAACAACAGAACATAAGTTTACCAAACTCTCCATCTCACTCCAAATCCCTCTTGTGGCTGTCAGTCTGAAAATTTTAATATATAAGTATAAGTCACAGGAAACACCCAAACCATGAAAAAAGTGCGACTTATAGTCCAAAAAATATGGTATATACTATTATAAATACATGCACACATGCTTACACATATATAAGTACATACATATATGCCTATATATATAGACACATATACATACATACACACATTCATATAAATATATAATATCTGGCTAAGTTAAAATGACATATTAAGAACATTTTACTTTATTTGAGTTGATTCAACTTGACAAGAAAATTTTCTACCAGTGGAATAAGTGTGTTTTTCTTAATCCAAGCAACATTAGGTTTTATTTCTTATTCTAAGTGCAGAGAGTTGTTTTTCTTATCTTAAGTGCAGCAAGATGTACTTTCACATTTTAACTACAAAAACCTTGTTCGATTGGTGGATCATTTTACTTGTCAAGTGAAATTTACTCAAACTTAATTCAAGTAGAGTTTTTGCACAACAAGCCAAACAATCAAAGCTGAAGTTATTTAGATAAGAAAATGTCCTCCACAAAGATCAAAATATACTGACATTTTTTTTATTTATTTTTTTTATCTTATACCTGTATCTTAGGCCTCTACACATGTCTTAAAATACATGAGATTCTTGGATGAGTTTTTCACATTTCAGTCTTCTTTCAAATGTTAATGTTCTTGGAGTTATTTACAGTGTGCACTCTGAACAGAATCCCACTCTAGTATTTAGACATCACAAAATGTAATCGCAGTCACAATACAGAAAAACGGCAATTGGATTTTCCCCAATCATGCAGCTGGAGCGAAAACAAACAAAAACATGCTCCTAAGTGTCATCTGAGAGAGATCTGAGCCAATCACCATCCTTACACTGCATCCAGGGGTTTGGAGTTCAATTGCATCGGCCAATGTAGCTTCAGAGTTTAAGCTGTTTTTTTATGTGTGTGTTTTGTTTTTTTTTTGGTTTTTTTTCATGAATCACACATTATGACTCAAGATATCATGCTTTGAGGACAGTGTTCAATACCCAATGGGAATAAAAGTAATACGCAAGCATAAAACAACAATACTGCCACTGTTGAAATGTTGGGCTATTGCTTTATTTCATTTGTTTCATTTAAATTGCATTCATGTTGTCTGTTTTTCTGAAATTGTAAATACTATACTATAAAAACTAAAATTGGGTGAATGTGAGCCTCCCCTTAGAGTAGGTAAAGACAGCCGAGCCTCCCCCTCTACATCTTTTGTGTTCCTGCAATGATGAGTTTCAATAACAACTGATAATATATTTTTTTTTAAATTGTATTTTCATTCTTTTTTTTGTTTTTTTGTTTTGTGTTGCATTCATAAACCATTTTTCAACAGCAAATCATTTCCAACTTCATGCAGGCGTAACTGAGGTGACTTTTAACATCACTGAACATCAGTAGGTCACCAGGACTAAACCAGGACTAAACCAGGAAACCAGGACTAAACCGGGACAAAACCAGGACTAATCTTGGACTTGAGCAAGAGAGGGAGCACCCCGAGCCCAAGGAGCGGGGTGTCCACAAAGCGCGGCTTTTGGGGCACGGCTCTGTGCCTGCGATCACCCGACGGTCTACGTGGGTGCACCTTTGGGCCAATTCCAACACTCAGTCCTGGTTCAGTTCTGGTTTAGTCTTAGTTTAGTCCTCCTGGTTCAGTCCTGCGATCAGTCCTGTTTTAGTCAATTTTTAGTCCTGTTTTTAAACTATTATCTTTGTGCATCAAGTAACTCGTTTATGTAATATTTTCTGTGTTTTATTTTTGTGTTAGTGTTTCACTATGTTGTGTTTCATGCTGTAAAACACTTTGGTGCAACTTGCTATGGTTGTTTTAAATGTGCTATATAAATAAAATGACTTGACTTGACAGTTTTAGTCCTAGTTCTGTTCTGGGATCAGTCCTGTTTAGTCCTGTTTTAGTCCTAGTTCAGTCCTGGTTCAGTCCTCCTGGTTCAGTCTTGGTTTAGTCCTGGTTTAGTCCTGGGATCACTCCTGTTTTAGTCCTGGCTTAGTCCTGGTTCAGTCCTGGTTCAGTCCTCTTGGTTCAGTCCTGGTTTAGTCCTGGCTTAGTCCTGGTTTAGTCCTAGTTCAGTCCTGGTTCAGTCCTCTGGTTCAGTCTTGGTTTAGTCCTGGTTCAGTCCTGGTTCAGTCCTGGTTCAGTCCTGGTTCAGTCTTGGTTTAGCCCTGGTTCAGTCCTGGTTTAGTCTGCGTGCGTTGTGCCTTCCCAGTGACTCCTCCCCTATTGAAAACCTGCTGCTATAGGCTGTAGATGCAAAGTAACAAAGTGAAATACACAGACCACATTTCTTTTCTTTTTTTCACAATAGGTGTATCCATTGTTTCCATAGATTCTTGACCACAATGAATAATCCACTTCCCAGTTCTATGAGTAGTAGTCTGGACCTGACTTAACCTGAATAAAAAAATGTAGTCTGACTTGTAGCAGACTCTGACTAAGACGTTACTGATCCACAAGGGAAATTATTTGGACACATTAGCTCACGTATCACATTATATTACAATAACAGAGAGCAAAAATATAAATGGCTGTAATAATAAAGTCAAAAAATCAGTAGCATTTGGTGTCAAATAAGTTTTATAGGCCCATATGTACAAGAAAAATACAGAAATATAATAAATATCAGAGGTGGGATTTGCAGTTTATGACTTGGACTCGAGTCAGACTTGAGTCACTATTTTTAGGACTTGAGACCTGACTTGACTCGACTTGGACTTGAAGGTCAGTGACTTGGGACTTGACTCAGAGTTGAGAAGACTTGAGAAGCACTTTTAAATCTAAATTCTTTCTGTTCTGACCGTAATGAATCACGCTAAAATCTTTTAAAAAGGAAAAAATAACTAAATTAATTTTCTACAACTCTTGTATACTTAAAAAAAATTCTCAAATATAAATATACCACGACTTTTTAAGTACAATTTAGTTTAAAGTTCATATAAATTGCAAAAAATCTAAGCTATATTTTGTATTTTGGTTTAAAGACTTGAAAAGACTTGAAGCTCAAAGCAGAAGACTTGGGCTTGACTTGGATTTAAGGGCTAGTGACTTGAGACTCGACTTGGACTTGCCTGTATTTGACTTGGGACTTGACTCGGACTTGAGGCCTGTGACTTGAGAAGACTTGAGAAGCACTTTTAAATCTGAATTCTTTCTGTTCTGACCGTAACAAATCACACTAGGACCTTGTCAAGACATTTAAAAAGGAAAAAATTACTAACATTAATTTTCTACAACTCTTATATACTCTATTAATACTCAAATATTTATATAAATATACCATGACTTTTTTTAAAGTACAATTTAGTTTAAAGGTCATAAAAATTGCAAAAATCTAAGCTATATGTGGTACTTTGGTTTAAAGACTTGAAATGACTTGAAGCTCAAAGCAGACGACTTGGACTTGACTTGGACTTATGGACCAGTGACTCGAGATTCGACTTGGACTTGCCTGTATTTGACTTGAGACTTGAGGTCAAAAGACTTGAGACTTACCTGAGACTTGGACCCACTTCTGGTAAATATATCTCGTTTTAAGCAAGAGGTCGTACGGAGAAACAGTGGAAAGATGAAACAATGGTCGACATGTGGTTTTCTTTTACATAATTAGATACTTACGTTAACATCTAAAGACTTTCCTCACGTGGGGTTTTAAAATTATGTCAGGGACAAAGTGGACCACAGGGAGAAGCACTTCATTCTATGTCTGATTAAAGCTACAGAAGGAGGGAGGCGGGACTGGAGCAGAGCCATTAACAGACATAGATGAAACGATTAAGGTCCATTTAAGGTTTTCATTTTGTTTTGTGTTGATGAAGTCCAAGTTTTGACCAGATTTTGTTGCTTTACGTAGGTTTTAATCGGTTTAGACCTGGTTAAAAACTGGTGAAGCCATGTTGTGTTGGTTCAAGTCATGGTTTAGTTCTGATTTAGTCCTAGTTTAGTCCTGGTTTAGTCCTGGTTGAGTCCTTATTTAGGCCCAGTTTAGTCCTAGCTTAGTCCAGGTTTATTACTTCTTTAGTCCTGGTTTAGTCTTTCTTTAGTCCTGGTTTAGTCCTTGTTTAGTCCTGGTTTAGTCCTTGTTTAGTCCTTGTTTAGTCCTTCTTTAGTCCTGGTTTAGTTTAGTCCTTGTTTAGTCCTTGTTTAGTCCTTTAGTCCTGTTTAGTCCTGGTTTAGTCCTTTGTTTAGTCCTGTTTTTAGTCCTTTAGTTTAGTCCTGGTTTAGTCCTTGTTTAGTCCTTCTTTAGTCCTGGTTTAGTCCTGGTTTAGTCCTTGCTTAGTCCTGTTTTAGTGCTGTTTTAGTCCTTTTTACCTCAGCCAAGGAGGTTATGTTTTTGCCAGCGTTTGTCTGTTTGTTTGTTTGTTTGTTTGTTTGTCTGTTAGCAACATAACTCAAAAAGTTATGGACTGATT